AACACAATATTATAATATTTTTATGTGGCTTACAATATTTGTCACTATATTTATCATATTGACGACATTAAAATAATCGATAAATATTAAAATTATAATATTTAAATAGTATGGTGGATTATAACAGTTGGTTAAACACGAGAAAATTATATGAAATTTAATATTTCGTTATAATCCCATTTTCGACCAAAGTGAGGGTTACGACTTTTGGCCTTTTAACCATCGACATGATAACTCTTGAATTTTGAATCACAGCAAACACAATAATTTACCTATATAATATATACACAAGTGTAATACAGACACAATTTTTTTAGAATACCGAAATTATTTTTGTTTAAATTCCAGAATTAAATTAGTTTTGAATAAATAATACAACTATCTTGAGTGTTTGACAACAACAAAAGACAAAACAATGGTTATTGGATAAACATTGACACATTGTTAAGACTCGTAAACTGTAGCATTAAAATTGGCTCGTTGCCAACTGGTCTACTAGTGTATTCTTAATTAGGCTGTGTTTTAGACTAGCTATTTAGATAGTGGTGACCTTTAGTGAACTATAAAGTTTCGAGATGCTATAAATACGTAGGTGTTTTTATTTGTACCTAAATATTCTTTATAATTAGATTAATAACCTTTAATAGCAAAAAAAAAAATAAGCATTCTACCTTGCTATTATAATACATTATACATTTATTATTACATAATTTTAGGCTCTTTGAAGTTGTATAATATATAATATATCGAATGTGCAACAACGTTACAAATCGATAATTTTTTTCATATTTTTTAAAATAATTTATTAATTTCACAATTTTTATAGGTATTAATTTATATTACACAAAATAAATTTGTTTTGAAAATTAAAATCTAATATTTACTTCGCTAATTTCCTGAATCAAATACACGTAGTAAGTCTGCTCTCTCGTAGTTATATGCTCTTGCGACTTAAAGGATGTGCAACCAACTAATAACAAGTTGATCATAATAAATTCCTTTAGATGCCCGATTGTGTCTCGAATTGAGGTAGTCATATTTTATCCCAAATATAAGTATCCTGATTATGTCCAAACACACATTTGTTCACAAAATAACGTATGATTTATAAAATAGGCATGACAGGCAGGTATGTATAATTATAGGTAAAATAGAAATAAAGTTGTACGCAAACACATACGCATAACAAAACCAAATTCATAAAAGGCAAGAATGTTTACAATAAAACAAATTAGTCAGTGATATTAAAATACTCATAATTCATCAAAAATTATATATACAATAATAACTCATTACAGGATAAWCATTTTTTATGATACAAATTAATATGGTATACTTAATATTTAAGTTAATAAATAGTCGAGTAAAAAAATAAATGGATTTTGGTGTCATAAATATATGTTTTTAATTTAGTATTTTTACAAACTCAAAATAACATATTTATTTGTTTTAAACTTTACTAAATTTGGATTTGTTTAATATTTTGTAGATTCTGAACGAAGTGATAAATGTATTGATTTTACAATGATGTGTGTTTTTTTTTAGATGTTCCTTCAAGTAGCTATAGAGAAAACTCGAAGCATCATTATAGGAAAAATTTTAAGTGCGTTTGAATTTTAAATTTTTACGAAATAGTGTAACGATAACGATTTATCATCAAATGATTTTAAATATTTGTTATTATTCAAAAAGTATAAGTCGTGGATACTTGAACATTTTACCAGTTATTTAGATTGGCATTTTCTTTACATGATTTAATTTTCAAAATATTTTGACTTTTTTGGAGATATTTATAGACAACTAAAATTTTCAATTTTTCTGAAAATTGTTTTTTGATGTGTCGATAAAATTTTTTTGGCCCAATAAAAATACTTGAAAATTTAATACTAATTTTCTCATAAGTTATTCTTATAGTTCTTAAAAAATTATAAGAATACATAGGCACAATTTTTTTTTATTAGCATTTGAAGTTAAATATTTACAAAAATTCGTCAAAACCATGAATATTTGCAAGTAGGTAATTTTGAAGTTGAAAAATCATAAAAAATTKTGTGTTTATAACTAAGGATTAGAAATACAACACTAAGTTTTCCATAAATTTTCCTTCGAGTAGCTATAAAGAAAATTTGAAGCGTCATTATTGGAAAAATGTTTTGAGCGTTTGAGTTTTAAATTTTCATGAAATCAGGTATATGTATTTTATCTATGATAATGTAAGGTATTATGAGTTATGATAACTACATGCAATGTTTTTGGAAAAATTGATTAACCATGCTTTATTCAAAATGCGTCCTATTTGAAAAATAATATATTCGTTTCATAATAGAATATATGACAATATTTAAATAAAATATATCCTAGACTGACAAATCATACCGTTCAGAATCGTTTTTCGTATACAATGATACCTATCATTGCATTCAAATCTAAACTACCCTAGTCAGAGGTCCACCCCACCACCTAATGTATAGCAGAGCGACATCCACTTACCCGCTTTTTTATATACATATTATATATATAATGTATTAATGTGTATATTTGTGTGTTATCATGGTATCAKACGCAATCGAGATATTTTCATTAAATTTTTATAGCCTTATAGGTAAACACTGAAAAAAGTATTTCCTAACTACTATGTACAGGTCGCAATTGGTACATGAAAAAAGTTAAAAGGTTACTTATAGGCACAATCGGGTAACGCTCAATAAATTATATTAATCTTATCAATATATTGTATCTTTCAAATAATATAGATATTACAAATATCTTGGATTTTTTAACAATAAAATTAGTAAACAATTACAATTAAAATGAATATAATCATCAGATTGTGTACTTGGTAATTTAAGTATTGAACTATTGAATGGATATATACTATACATAATTGATACAAATAAATATTTGTAAATTAATTATTTAGTATRATAAGACTTTAACCATTTTTTCATAATACATATAATAGAAATTCTTGATTATAATGTGTGAGTATCTATCCTTATTCTTCGTATTAAAAAGTAATAGCCATCATTACATTATATGATACCTACGTAAATGCATTCATTACAATAATATATCTAGCTAWGCTGTTCAGTTGTGTCACACGTGTTATTTGATTATACGAATGGATATATCGAAACACACACATTTTTACTACAAATCTTATTTTAATTTTTAATACAACGTTTCGCCAGCCAATAAAAACTGAAGAACTAAGACATTTAAAATTGAACATGTTTACCGCTAGGAACAAATTTCTAGTGATGTTATTGTATGTAAAAAAACTAATGAAAAATAAAAAATTCCAATAAATAATAACTGTTTTTGGAGTCAAAATATTAAAAAAACTAAATCTATGATGGATATTATTATTATTACATGAGTTTTTTCAGATATCTAAAGAGCTGCCGATTTGGTGATCATGTTAAAGCGTTTTTTAATTTAATTGTGCAGAAATTAAATTCTTAAAGAAATGTAGAAAATTTCTTTACAATAACTTAACAAAATAGTAGATATTATGGGTAAAAAGTGGTTAGACTGATTTCCAAAACACTATTCAATAATATTAATTTTTTTATGACAAAAATTACGAAAATAAAATATAATATGTGAAGGATATGTTATTGAACGTGCTTATTGTTCGTTCATGATTAGCATACGTTCCAAGTATAATACTATTTTTATAAAATTAAAATGATAATAATAAWACAGATTCATAACATTATAATCATTACACCTGCTACTTGCTAGTGTTTCATATATAAATGTAAACCGCGAAACCGTCTTACCTTTTTTTCAATCAATATTGAAGTATTCAAAAATGTTTTAAAAATACGAAGCCGTAGGTACTGCTGTACTGTAATTTTCGAGTGTATGTAATAATTTAGTAAGTCACCGTTATAGATGTTTTAAATTTAAAATCAATGATAAATCATCACATACGAAAAACGGMTCTAACGGAGATGGCCTGTTTTTATTATCATGTAAATGTATTAAATATATTACTAAATTATTATAATAATTTGTTTAATTATTTAAAGTTAAATGGTATTAACTATTAATAGGCAATTGCTTACAATAAATCCTAATGTCTTAAAAATGTTAAGTTTCCACAAATAACATACCTATTTAAGTTACAAAAAAATGATTGAAATCGTATTTTTCATTAAAATTTATAATTTCGTCCAAATTTCAATTTACATAACATTTTTATAAGAACACCGTATGAATTTAWCTATATTTGTTAATTTAATTTATATTTATGAATATTTTTTGAATTTTTTTTTTTATTACCTATAGAATGAAATATATAATATAAATTAAGGTGTTATATCGGTAATCTGTGTAACTACGGTTTAGTGTACTTCAGTTTAGATATTATATTTCTTGTAATTTTTCCGAAAGTGGTTCAAACTATACACACTTAAGATTTTCTGATATCTAAGAATAATCTCTGAAATTTACGTCAAAATCAGTTGAGTAGTTATGAGTCTATATTAAGCAAATAATATATAAGAACTATGTATTTAATAAACTCCCATGTTATATAATGATATAATTTCACTATTCGAGGTTACAAACACGACRATTTGATTCATGTTTTTACCACATCTGATCGAGGAGTAACCAATAGCAATCATAAATATTTTTTATCGCGTGAATCTTAAAATGGTGAGTACGTCTTTAAGATACACATTTTTGGAAAATCCTTACTTAGTGCATCATTAATCGCTGATATAATGCTGCTGTAAAAATTTCTAGTTCTAATAGCTAATCAAAGTTTAGACTCTAGTACTCTACGTAGAACTACAGTCACTCTGTCAGGACACGTTTGATTACTTATAAACAGATACATTTTATGCCATGAGAGATATATAGCTTATATTTATATAATGTAGTTAAAAAATTTAAATCGTAGACTAAATTCAACCACAAATAATATATATATTTAATGTTATAATAATATATTATTTATTTCACAACATAAAAGTGAATGACAGAATTTTGTATAGACATAGATTTATCAAAGAACAAGATATAAAAAAATTCTCAGATACGGAATATAATAAAATTATATACAATATTATAGTTAATAAATTAAAGGTCGCACCTATATATCCGTAGGTATATGAAACTAATGATGATCGTCACGTACCAACAACATATTTTCAGGTTTRTCGTTGTCATCGTAGTCGTTTGGATTTCGTTCGTCCAACGGTCGCATTTCTGCGAGCTGCTGGCGACCATATAAATACAATAGGTCATAGTCCTTCGAGGACTTAAAGAATATGAGCGCAACACATAGAACTGCAATGAAAGCAACGTAAGCGCTTATAGTGACCACACCTGGCAATAAATTTCTGGCAAATGAACTTTTGAAACGACTGAATTGTTGTTTCGATGGCATTACGGCGATCCTATTGTCACCTATCGTGACATTGACCTGTTTCGGAAGTAGGCCTAACTGGGGTGATTGCGACACCTTACAAATGATCTGCGTGTTGTCCATCGAAATGATCTGACAACTGCAAGAKAATGAGTTTTCAGTCACCAATACAATGGAAGCGTCCTCAGCGGCGAAACCTGGGTTCGGGTATAGACCATTTACGGTAACGTTGCAGCACCCGTCAAACACAAAGTCCGTGAAACTCGGATCCTGATAACGATGATAACCGATAACCTGTAATTTTAACTTGTCGTTTTTTCCGGTAGAGTTGATAAAGTAAAATCTGAGTGGTTCGATGTTAGCTGCAACTAGCGAATCGATATTGAGCTTAGGAGACCGGCAAACCATGAGCGTGTCGTTATGTACATCACAACCACTGCACGAATTTTTATTTCTGACGCAACACGTCACATTTTTCAAGCCACAAAAATGTTGACCCTTCACCCGGAACTTGGTGCCACCAGACACTATACCGCCGAACACTTGACCGTCGTCCACCGTCGGTTCGACCAGAAAACTGTTGTTGCCCGATTGGCTACCGAAATCGGCAAGCTGGTCTGATTGGAGTATAATTTTCGGCGTTACAGAATTATTAAATACGATTGGACCTTTGCCGGAACACATTTCATAGTCTYGCATGGTGCTGGTACTCAAATGAATGAGATTTGAAATATTCCGTACGTCACAGTACTGGTACGGTATAATGTCYTTGGATTCGGAGTTGTTTACCAAACACCARCTACAATAAAACCTGTGCGTGCCATTGTTCCAATGACAATGAGGACAGTCTATTTTTGAATAATCGGTAGCCCACGGGTACRTGGTCACGTAGTGGTCGCTTACATTGTCRAATCGCAATAACTTGTCATCGAACACGATCAATAAATAATTAGTGTGCGGTATCAACTGTTGGCACCTGGTATTGTACTGCGGTATTCGTGTCGATACACCGGAACAGAAGATTCGATCGCCGCCCACCTTGGCCGTATAGTTATTGTTGCCCAGCCGACACTCGACGCTGCTGTTGGCCAACAAACGGACCAAACCACCTCCCATGTCCGCGTCATTAACCTTAACCGTCACCGTCACCGTCTTGTTGTCACCCACTGCAGCGCTGACGCTATTTTCGACCGAAAACTTTGGACAGGAAGATCCGTTGGTGACCACCATCCAGCTCTGCTCTGCCACCTTCGTATTGTCCACGCACATCTGCTCGGCGACGGACCASCTGCACGCCGGCATCGTTACTTCTGTACACGACGAACACGTCCATCGTTCCTTGCACGTAGTTYTGTTTAAGGGCGTAATTTTGTTTATGGTWGTGATTCCCAACAAATCTGTCTCGGAGAGAACCTCGTGCACCTGCAACTGCAATTTTTAATTKAATGCAATTTAAAGGAAATCTATTAACACGATATYATCGTCCAWCCTAGTAATATGAKTATATAAGTAACATGTAGGTACTTATTATTAATTATATTATTGTTATTTTGTAGACACGACTATGGATAAGATACGTTGTCCAAAATCAGTATGTTAAGAAACGTAATGTTATATTAATATAACAATAAGAACCTACCTATATAAATACAACTTCTTATGCAGCACAKCATAATTAGTTGCACTAGTTGCATAGTTATTTATCGGCGGGAGTTTTTTTTTTAAGACAAAATGATCGTTACTTGATTATAATAAAAATATTATGTACGTACGATGGTGATTAAGAATACAAATTGATTCAATGATAAATTCTTCAATTTATGACCAAATTTAGAACGTCTGCTGACAAACATTGCACTTGAGCAATGTTCGTTTTTCTGAAAATAAATGATAATATAATATTCTATTAAATTTTAGATTTGAATAAATATAAATAAAATAAAAATGTAAAAATCTTATCATGGTGTACCAATATTTTTTCATTTCCGAGTTTATGCAATGTTGATTTTATATTATATAAGTTGGTACCTTAAATATTGGATAACAACAAAAAACTGTTTAATATTTGTTAAACATTTTAAGTGTATAATTTATATATTTTATTATTTTTCTTTTATGTTTATTTTTATAATTGTTATATTTTAAAAAATTTAATAGTTACAAACTACAAGTTACAATAAATTAATTATTTATATATTTATAACATTTGTTAGTTTTTCAAGTAAAAATAAAATATTAGCCTTTTTCAGGGTCTCTATTACTCTAATGAATAATGATACCTTGTGGCTTGTATGTTTTACCTTTTTGATAATGTAATTTAATTAAATAAAATTATTTTTAGGACATTCGTTAAAAACTTTGAAAAAGTCGGAAACCCCCTTTTATGGCTCGGTCTTAGATCCTGGTCTTTACGATAAAATATTTTGGACACACGTGTGTACTATTTTTTTTTTTTAGTTAGTATACAGTGATATATGTATACAATATAAACTATTTCTCAGAATTTTTACCATACTGGTATCACACATACATAACGAATTCGATAACTCGATCTTCAGATTGTGAACAGTATTCATCGTAAAAGGGGCCTCGGCGCCTCGCAGCAAAATATGTACTTT